TCTCCCTTCTCTCTCTCTCGGAAGTCTGCTTGTCTCTACTAGCTGGTCTCTTAGGCAGCCTGGTTTTTGGCCCCAGCTATGGCCTGTCCCACTCAGTAGGCTCTGCACCTGCCTGCTGTTTGCAGAGACATCCCCAGGATCCATGGTCAGAGGATGGAGGGAGAGGCCCTGGCACCCCAGCCCCAACCAGCCTCAGCTCCCCTCTGGGCTTTACTCCTCGCCACTTCCGACCGATGGGAACAGGCACGACTGTCAAGATTATCCTGAAGGAGAAACATAAGAAAGGTGGGGACAGGACTGGCCTCCAATCTGCTGATGGACAGGGTGCCCCAACTGCCCCACCTCCTGTATCCCCTACTCTGGCTCCCTAATCTCAGCCTGGCCGTGAGCATAATTCATAGAGGATAAAAACTGAGTGTGCTCTCGAAGGTCAGGGACCCTAACTCCCACTTGACAGATGAGGACACTGAGGTGCACAAGTATGGGAAGCAGAGAAAGAACCAGTCTTTTTTTTGGGGGGGGGATGGTGTTGGGGATGTCTCACTATGTAGCTCAGGCTAGCCTTGAACTTGAGATTCTCCTGCTTCTGCCTCCCAAGTCAGTATTTTATTGACTATCTGTCATGTCTTTATTGGGAAATGGGGAGACAGAACAGAATCTGTCACAGTCTCTGCCCTCAGTGGCCCTAGACTAGTTGGGGAGACATGTGAATAAGTTACTTTCCCATGAGTCTGGACAGAGGACAAAACCAACAAAGGAAGAAGAGGGCGGAGCTGGTCTGCAGGGGACAGTGGGACTGGAGAAGGGGCAGCTCAGCCTCAGAAGGGGAAACAGGTACACCACAGGGCTCCCTGATGGGTAGAAAGGTCGTGGGGCTACTGAATCCCAGTCCTGTGCTCTTATACAGTTGAGATACTGAGGTAAGGAAGGGGAAGGGACCCACCAAAGCTCACTCCACCTGGTGGTAACAGTTGATCTCTGTCATGCCCATGACTTCCTTGTTCCCCTGGAAGTACCTCCCAGGCCAGGGAAGGGCTCTCCGTCTTAAGCAAATCTTGGCTACAGGGAAGGATGTCAGAGGCAAGGAACAGGTTTATACTCTGCACTTTGTAGGCAGTGTGGTTGGGGTTTCCTAGGGGCTCACTCCACACTTTGTAGGCAGTGTGGTTGGGGTTTCCTGGGGGCTCACTCCACACTTTGTAGGCAGTGTGGTTGGGGTTTCCTGGAGGCTCGCTCTACACGTCGAGCTGGAGACTCTGCCAGACCCAAAGCACCGGCCTTCCTTCCTTCCTCCCTGTTCTCCTTGTCCCAGCTTGCACACACAATGGGAAGACATACTCCCATGGGGAAGTGTGGCACCCTACCATCCTCTCCTTCGGCCCCATGCCCTGCATCCTGTGCACGTGTGAGGATGGCTACCAGGACTGCCATCGTGTGACCTGCCCCACTCAGTATCCTTGCAGTCACCCCAAGAAAGTGGCTGGGAAGTGCTGCAAGGTCTGCCCAGGTAGGAGGAGTGCTAACGGGAGGGCACTGATCATGGGCACTGGGAAGCTCTGGGATCTGGGGTACTTGCAACTTAGCCATGGCATGCCAGACAGGTGTGGAAAATGCCAAACTGCATTGGAACCACCTAATATGACAGTGTCACCCTCAGAGACTCTTGACATAGACATGCAATCAAATATGCATGCCATAAAGCCATCAACTAGGACACTGGAACTTTCAAGAACAGCCACTGTTGATTGAGCAGATCACAAACTCTTTTTCTCTTTTAGAAGATGAAGCACACCCTGGCCACAGTGAGGTCATTTCCACCAGGTGTCCCAAGGTCCCAGGCCAGATCCATGTGTATACATTGGTGTCCCCAAGCCCAGACAGTCTGCACCGATTTGTCCTGGAGCATGAGGCCTCTGACCAAGTGGAGATCTACCTCTGGAAGCTGGTGAAAGGTGAGTGATCAGCTCCTGCTCCCAGCTGGGTGTACCTCTGTCCTGTCCCCTTCCTGTCCTTAGAATCCATAGGGACCTTGAGGATATTTTTGCTGATCACGTGCCTTGACACTCTTCCAGGGGCAAGAGCCCCTCACTGCAGGATGTAGAAGACCCATTCCCCTTCCCTCTGTGATTGACAGTTCTGACAAGCTCCCTGGTAGTCGAAGCCTCTGAGTGCGCCCTCTCCTGGGTGCAAAGGGTTACTGCGCCCTGTGAGAAGCTGACCTTGAAATCTTAGCTGGCTAGTGGCAGGGCTTCAGCACTGATAGGGAACATATTGCCAGGCACGAGGCCCTCACAACAGCCTCACAGAAGGCCTGAGGCTAGTGTTACTGGGCCTTTTTCTCACTGGTGGATCCTGTCCCAGTGCTGTCAGTTGACATCAGGATGTGTCTTATTCTGTCGGGAACTTGTCCTTTTACCAGAATGATCCTGTTGCTCAGTGAAGGTCAAGGGTTTTTATTGATAAGTGGATTGTGAGAGTGGTTTTGAGACTCATTTTGTAAAAACATAGACCCTGTGGGCAGAGTGATGTATTAAAGCAATGATTGGAACTCAACTCAGTGTGAATTAGTAAAAAGGCTGATTTCCTTCACTGATGGGTGCCACGGACTCCGAACCCCTTGGTCTTGGGGAGAGGAACAGAGGTCCGCGGCGATGGGGGTCGAGGAGGGAAAGTGCGCCCGTTTCGCCAGCCCTTCTCTCCGAGGACAATCAGACGCGGCAGGGAGTCTGTCAAGCAAAAGCTCGCTTATTATTAAGGCTGAACAATATTTAAAGGCAAAAACCATAAGCATAGCATAGGCGGGGAGGCCGGCATCCAATCAGCTCAGAGGTCACGTATTAGCACGCAGGCCCTTCTCATAGCATAACTCAGTGTTCACGAGGTGATCATGCGTCCTTCACTGAGCTTCAGTCACTATTACTTCTCCTTATTGTTGCGTGCCAAGCTGGCCAGCTGGCTCCGCCTTCACCTAAGCTGCTCAGCGCCATCTTGTTACCATACCTCCACAGATGGGTTGATGGGTTTGGCTGGGGAGGGGGGTAGAGGTGGGAGGAAGAAGAGGGAAGGTGATAAGAGTGACAGCAATGACAGCCACTGTGCAGCATTTGACGTTTGCAAAATGCTTCCATGTTGACATCATTTGAATCCCACCAATCCCGAGAGTTAGGCACTATTATCCCCATTTTACAGATGAGGACACTGAGGCTCAGAGAGATGAAGTCCCTGGCCACGCATCCAGTAAGTAGAGAATGGGGGCCAGAGCCCTTGTCTTTGATGTCAAATGTTGTTCTATTCTGGCCTTTGGAATGGATGAAGGAAATGGAGCTGTCCATCCTGGAAAAGGATTGGGGTGGGGTGAAGGGTCCAGACTGCTGACTTCCTGGCTCTGACAGGCTGCCCTGGCAGAGGGAATAGCTGTGTTCTGAGTGACAGTGAGGCTTAGACTACAAGCAGAGGCTTTGGAATTGGACGATCTGGGTTTAAATCCCACCTCTGCCACTTTTGACTCCTGGCTTTGCTGTCCTCAGCTGTGTGAACTTAGGCAGTCACTTGTCCTCTCTGGGCCTCAGAGTTCTCATCTGTGAATTGGGAAGAGGGACTTTGGAGAATTAATTAAATGGCATAGGGATAGTCCCCTGACCAATGGAACATGCCAAAAATGTCTGAATCCTCCTCCCACCATGGGTTGGGTAGGATGGCAGAGACAAGGGCCCACTCAATGAGAGGAAGCTCTTGCTTATCCCCCAAATCTTCCTACAGTAGAAGGAGGATGCGGAGCTCTCAGAGGAGGGGAGGAAGAGGCAGGAGCTCTTACTACTGCTGTGAAACTTCAGATCATACTGGTTCTTGGGCTGGCTCCTGCTGTAGCACTCAGGTCACCCACACCCCACACCCTAGCAGGTGCTGGGACAACAGAAAGCAATAGGCCCCAGCCCCTGTCCTTAAGAATACGTGGCTTGGTGACCCGTATGTAGCAGGTGCATGGAGGGGCGGTTGATCTAGGCAGACAAGGCTTCCTAGAAGATGGGCCTCTGAAACTGAGGGAGGCAGGAGGGCCTTAGAGAGGACCAAAGAGCTTTGCAGGCAGGATGGTTCCAGCAGCCCTCTATGCTGTGAGCCATATGCAGCAGGCACCATGTGCAAAGTGACTCATTGAATCCACCTGAGAAACCCAAGGGTATGTATTCATGCCCCATTTTGCTGGTAAGGAAACAGTCTGAGAGCTTGGTAGAGTGCTCACAAGCAGGAGGCCCTGAGTTCAATCCCCAGCACAGTATAAACCAGGTGTGGTCACACACAACTATAATCCCAGCACTCAGGAGGTGGAGTCAGACATTCAAGGTCATCTTCAGTTACATGGAGAGTTTGAGGCCAACCTAGACTACATGAGACTCTGTTTAAAAATGTTTTTAAAAGAACTAGGCATAGTAGCAGTACACATCTTTAATCCCAGCACTTGGGAGATAGAGGCAAGGGGATCTCTGTGAGTTCAAGACCAGCCTGGTCTACATAGTGAGATCTTGTCTCAGAAAAAAAAATAGGATGGAAGGAAGGGAGGGAGGGAGGGAGGGAAAGGGAGAAGGAAGAAAGAAAAAGAAAAGAGAAGAAAAGAAAAGAAAAAAAAGAATAGAGTTTTTTGAGGTCTCATAACTCACTTGAAGTCTTAAGGGAGGTATCTGAGGAAGGCCAAGAAGGGCCAGGATGACACAGACAGAGGAGAGAGGGAACTTGTTCTCCATCTCATTATCACCAGGACAAGCAGAAAAAAATGAGGTGTGTGTTGGGGGGTGGGTATAGTCTTCAGCTGCACCAGGCCCTACTGTCCTGTTCCTGGCAATGTTCCCCGTCTGCTGATCCCCTGGGTCACCTAAATGTCCCATCATTCCCTTCCTGGCCTACACTGTGGGAGTCGAAGCTGACATTCCTCCCCAGCCTCATTGTCAGGGGTACCATTCACAGTTTCCCCCTAAGAGGGGTGTAAACAAAATGAGAAATGGCCTTTGAGCCTGTACTAGGAAGGCCACACTACCTCAAACCAGAATCTGAGCCATGGGGGCTCAGGGTTAAGGGCCTTTGAGATTCTGGGACAGTTCTTGGGGGCCTCAAAGAAGTCCCCACTGCCTCCTGATGGTCTCTGGCCTTTGCCCCCACCCCCTTCAGGTACCTCCCTCCCAGCCCAGAACAGCTCAGTCCAGAGAAGTTTGACTTCACAGTGAGCTGGACTGAAACTCATTTAGCAGCACCAGCTCTGCCCTGGGGGTAGTGGCACAGGGCTCAGCTTTCCTCAGACTTGACAGAGTCCTTCAAAAGAACAAGAGGCACAGCTATGACCCTCAGGCCAAAGAGCATTATTCCTTATTATTCCGTTATACCTTATAGATCATGGTGGGGGAACCTAGCCTCACATCTGTTACCTCCTCTCCCATTGTTTTCTGTACACTGAGGAGCATGAAGTGGCAGGAAGGGCCTGTCCCTATTTCACAGCAGTTAGTACTCACCACTCTAATGTAGCCCCTGGACTTTTGGAGCTCTCCTGCTGGTTCTACGTTGGGGCTCCAAAGGCAGTGCTATTTCCCAGTTCCTGAAACTCAGTGCTGGGTCGATGTTTTCTATTCTCCTTCATGGGCCCCATTATGATTCCAGGGTACAGGTCTGGTTCTTGATGTTCCTCAAGGTACTGCTGGCCTAGATGAGGCTTTGCTGGCTGCATCTGTTCTTTCTGGCCAGAGCCTTTGGTGGGTAACAGCTAGTACCATTTCACAGCTCATGTGCTTAGGACCTTGGTACCATGTGTGGCTCCAGGGACCAGCTCCCTATGAGGTTCAAACATCAGGGGATCCAAGTAATACCTCATTCCTCTTTGGTGCCTCACTAATATGTATGTGTATATATATTCATCTACCCATCCATCCCCTCACTCATCTACCCATTCATCCACACACTCATCTATCCATCCATCCACCTATTCATCCACCCACACACCAATCTATCCACCCACCCATCTATCCATCCATGCGCTCATCTATCCACCCATCCATCTATATCCACTCACCTACCCACCTGCTGATCCACATACTCATCTATCCATCTACCCATCCATCCATCCACCTATACACTCATCTATCCAGCTACCCATCCATCCATCCATCCGCACACACCCATCTATCCACCCACACACTCATCTATCCATCTGTCCATCCATCCATTTACCATTCATCCATTCATCCATTCATACACACACACACACACACACACACACACACACACACCTACCTATCCATCCATGCAGGAATTCGTTTGTCCTATGTGTCTTGTGCTCATTTTCCAAAGAGTTAAGCTCTCAATAGTTCCAAGTTTGCTAAAGAAGGCAAGAATAAGCATAACGATAGCACCTTAGAACTTGATGCAATAGGTCTGGGGAGATAACTCGGCTAAATGCTTGCCTTACCAGTATGAGAGCCTGAGTTCAATCCCCAGAAACCATATAAAACTGCTAGGTGTGGTGGTGCACACTGGTAATCTCATCACTAAGGAAGTGGAGACAGGAGAACCTCTGGGTTTCCCTTGCCAAGCAGACTAACCTACTTGGTGAGCTCCAGGTCAACCAAAGACCCTATCTCAAAGGAGGTGGGCAGTGTTCCTGAGGATGACATCCACAGTTGTCCTCTTTTATGCATACACGTACATGTACCCCCCACACACATACATACATGCATACATACATACATACATGCATACATATAAGCATATTTTTAAAAGAAGAGATGGGTTAAATTATAAACAGAATTCACCGGGCGTGGTGGTGCACACCTTTAATCCCAGCACTTGTGAGACAGAGGCAGGCAGATCTTTGTGAATTCAAGGCCAGCCTGGTCTACATAGTGAGTTCCAGGACAGCTGGGGCTACAGGGAGACCCTGTCTCAAAAAGACAAAAAAAAATTATAAATAGAACTCAAATGCTGTGGGTGCTGCAAAGAGGAGGCTATGCTCAGCTCTACTCACCTTGGGGGTGGATCAGGGAAGACTTCCCACTAAGACTTTCTAGATGACTGGTTCACTTGTTGGCCATGGTAGACATTAGAAAGCAACACCAGAAGGGCTGGTATTTGTAAAGTCTTGGGCCCTTCCTGGGACTTCCAGTATTAGCTAGAGCTGGACCACAGTCAAGACATAACTCTGGTTTTTGATGTCTGAATAAGCAGAGCTATAGATTTTTATCATATGTTCTCCGCCAGAGAAAACCTTGACCATTCCACATGGGCCAGCACTTTTCTTTCTTTCCTCCCTTCCTTCCTTTCCTCTTCCTCTTCACTGTGGCAAATGAGCCATAGTGCTGGTGGCAGGAGCTAGAGGACACCGTTTTATTTATCATAGAGGTGGCAGGAGGTCAGGGAGGAAGTGACAGGGAAGCCAGCACATTTCAAATAACTACCATTAGGATGATGGTTTAGCAGGGGCTAGGGTCCTAGTATAGTAACCTAGGCCTGAGTGAGGATGGGCCGAGGGATAGAAGAACAGGCTGAAAACCTAGTTTTATTCCACACAATTTGGTGTGTGATCAGAGTGGGGGCCTGGAGGGAAGTGGCCAGGCCAGCTCTGAGACTAGGTTGCTGCTGCTTCCTGCCTTCCCAGCTTATGCCTTTGTCTCTGCCCACAGGAATCTTCCACTTGGTTCAGATTAAGAGAGTCAAGAAACAAGATTTCCAGAAGGAGGCACAGAACTTCCGGCTGCTCACTGGCACCCATGAAGGTGGGACCTTGGACTGAGGAATGAGTCCTGGGAGGGGAACAGGGATGAGGCAGGACTTCTTGGGGAGTTCCCAGGCTGCTGGTGCCAGGAGGATGGACTTGGGGAGGGGTGGCTGTCAGCCACAGACGTCAGTTCCCAGCAAAGGAATCCAGTGGGTGTCTGGGTCAGAGATTTCCCAACCCGTAAGTGGGAGACAGAAGGTGAAGCGAAGCAGCTGGCTTTGGTTTGGGGGTAGTAGGAGCATCTCTGTTCCCCCCCAAACATGGTACTGCCCACCCTCTCTCTACTGTCCATCCCCACTGAGACCACTTTCCTTGGCACCCTCAATTTGCTTGCATTACTCAACTACTAAACCTATATGGGGCCTTGAGAGGTGGCAGGTCAGGTCACAGATGAAACATTGCCCATGGGAATCAGGAAACCCGGCACCCAGAGGCAGGGTGTCCGAAGACTGGGTCATGTACCACAGTTATATGATAGGAGTCTCACCTCTCTACCTGGTGGGATCCACACCCTGGTCCTCTCCTGCCCCAAGCTTTAACTGCCTGGTCAATGCCATTGTACACACACACCGGTGCACACACATGACTATACTTACACCCTTCTCCCTTCTGCCTCCCAGGTTACTGGATCAACTTCCTAGCCCAGACTGCAGAGCTGAAAGTCACAGCCAGTCCAGACAAGGTGACCAAGACATTATAACAAGAACCTAAACAATGACAGATGTGAGCTTTATTGGTTCGGTTATTATATTTTAATAAAGCTGCATCAGCCCTCAGCCCTGACTGTTGCCTTCATGTCCCATTGCCAGGGTCTCTTCCAGGAAGACCCTCTTCATCCTAATTTTATATGGGTGGAAGCAGATTCAGAAGGAGTAGAGACAGGCCCTAGTCCTCACGGTGGCTTTGTCACCAGAGCCATAGATAGTTCCTGCAGCCTCCTCAGCAGGCCTTGTGTTCTTATTCCTAAGCCCCCCAACTACAGCAGCTTTTACAGGTCTCATCCCCCAGCAGCTCCTTGGCACTGAGTCGAAGAACTAATGTTAGTTCGTCAAATAGTGGCAACTGGAGCCTCGAAGTCCTTTTCCAGGGGCCTGGAGCCTCCCTATTGTCAGCCACCCCTACCTCAAGGAATCTGACTTTAGGGAGGAGTATGAGAAGTAATGTGCCTGAAGGCACAGAGGGCTTGGTAGCAGAGCTGGAACCGGAAGCCAGGGCTCTGGCTCCAGGCCAGCACTCTTTCCCTAGTGCCACCAAAAAGTCTCACCTCCAAGGGGATCCAAGACTTCAATCAGCTTGCCAAGTTCGCCCATTGTCGGAGAAGGCCTAATCTTTATAATTAAAGATAAAAATGGGGCAGGAGTGGTGGTTCAGCAGTTAAGAGTACTGGCTGCCCTTGCAAAGGACCTGGGTTCGATTCCCAGCACCTACATGGTGGATAATAATGGTCCATAGCTCCAGTTCCAGGGGAATATGACACCCTCTTCTGACCTCCTCGGACATTGCACAGCATGGATGCACTTACATACATGCAGGCAATACACTCACACACATAAAATAAAGATAATAAATAATAAATAAAAATATATGAAAAACAATTAAAGACAAATCAGTCGTTTATCTTATCCACCTGTGCAAGCACTTACACATATGCTTTGTGATCTGCGATTTTAGTTACATTGAGAAGGGTAGGATTTACCCACACTCCAGAGAGGAGGCTTCCGAGGCTTAGGAAAGACACCCTTCCTCAGAGCCTCACACTGATGAGTGATGAGGAGGGGTCTGAACTCAGGTCATGTGCTGCCCTGCTGGACCTGTCAGGACAGCCAGGTTAAGCCATCTGTAGCCCCAGATCCCCACCCCTTCTCCCACACAGGCGAAAGAGATGGTGGACAGGTCCTGAAGTTCAGGAGATCTGCTACTGCCACCTTTACCGAGAAGCAGTGGCTTCCTTAATCTCCCCCTTTACCAGCTCTGGGGGTGGGGACGGGTTTAAGAGTCAAGGTTAGAGAAATGCATTGGGGGCCTCCCTGTCATCTTGTGAGCCCATCATTTGGACCAGGGGTTTAAGCTGGCAACTCTGGAGGTGGGTTCTGAGCAACCCAGGAATCTGGAAGCCTGGCCATTCACAGGAGGGCTCTGATATCTTCCCAGCTAGCTGGGGTGTCTCCTCAGTGAAGCTTTCCCTGACCCTCTCATGCTTGTTCCCTCTCCACAGCTGGAGGATGGTGCTATAACAGACTCTGTTGTCCTGGGATTCAGGACAGGAATGGCCCTGTGTCCTCTTCCTGCTGCTGTAGGCTGAGTTGCCCTCCTGGTTTCTTTGATGGGCTTTTCTGAAACCTATGATGTCTACCCTGAACCTGTTTCCTCATGTGAGGGCCACATTCCATGCCTCAGCCTCTCCTTACTTCAGCCCAGCCCTTTCTGAGTGTTTGGACAAAGGCTGTCTGTGTGAGTCCATGCTGCTCCATTATGACTTGGCACCACTACAACTTGTCCCTCCCCATTATTCACTCTCCACACATTCTCTGAGCCACTCTAGGATGGGCCTTATGCTAGACCAACAACACAAAGCAAGGAGCCCCAAGTCCTGAGGAGAAGGAAGAGGGAGGCAGAGACATGACACCTGAGTGCCTAGGGAGGTGAGGGTGGGACTGTGGGGTCCAGCTGAGGACACTTAAGCGGGCTATGAAGGATGGGTGAGACAGAGGAAAATGGTGGAGGGAGAGAGAGGAGAGTGGGTGATGGCATAAAACCAGAAAACTCTATAGATGAGGAAAGCATATGACAGAGAATTGCAGATAGCTCACTGATGCTGAACAACATTTGGACTATGGGCGAATGGAGGTGAGGCTGCCTTCCGGCCGAGGGGCTCTGTTTTCACCCCAAGCGGACCCTCTGTGATCTAGAGAGCTGCCTCCTCCACCCGCTGCTAAAGAGTGGTCTGGCAGAACTAAGCTGAAGCCAAGTAGGAGCTGTGTAGGGAACACAGGTGACTGAAGACCAGCTTGAAAGGGAGGCAGGGGGAGGGCAGAGTGGACTGACTGGCTGTAGGGTTGAGGGAGAGTCAGGAGCCTCACCTGGAGGCTTCTAGGAGAACACAGGATTCAGCCATACCTATGGACTCCACACCTGGAATCTGAAGGGGTGGCCATTGGGTCACCAGAGAAGGCTGGTCTAGGGACAGGAAGTGGGAGCTATTGGCTTATAGGTGGTGACAAAAGCCTGGAGAGGAGGAACCAAGGCCTGGGAAAAATTGCATGAAAAGATAGGGGGACAAGGACAGAGGCCTGGGGCATCAGTCAGGAAACAACTAAGGAGGCCAGAGGGAAGGCAGGAGGCTGGTCACTGAGAGTCGGATAAGTAAGACCTGGAAGGACCCTCTGTGGGGATGACAGGGATCTTGTGACGATGGCAACCATCTGTGCTAATTTGAGAGGCAGAAGCTGGGTACCACGTGAAGTGGTATCTGGGAAGTAAGGAAACAAATTTTCAAGAATTTTGGCAATAAAAAGAAGAGAGGTAGGAGAGAAGAGGGAGAGTGTTGGGGGATGGAAGAGGTTTTTGGATGGGACAGATTAAAACCAGTCTTGTGATGAGAAGATGCCAGGGAGAGGGAAAGGAGAGGAAACAGGGATGAAGATGGAGAGACATATGTTCAAGGATGAGCTAAAATCCATTCTTCCTTGGCCATAAACTTCCTGTGTAACCCTGACTCATCTCACATGAGGCTGATGAGGGAGAAAGACAAGGCAGGCTCAGGGACTCCCCAAGGATCCAGAGGGGATCCATGGTCCTGGCAGCGACACCCCCTCGACCATTCTGGTATATTCAAATCCATTGTCTCATCTCCTCTTAGGAATCTCCAGTGGGGTGCAGATTATTATTCATGTCACACAGATGAGGAAATTAAGATTCAAGGAATGGATGATGAATATGAGACTAGAGTAAAGGGAGGAGCCGGGTGGTGGCGCACCCTTTAATCCCAGCGCTCAGGAGGCAGAGGCAGGCAGATTTCTGTGAGATCAAGGCCAATCTGGTCTACATAATGAGTTTCAGATCAGGTCAGCTAGGGCTACTGGGAGACCCCGTTAAAAAAATAAAAAAAGGAAGGAAGGAAGGAGGGAGGGAGGGAGGGAAGGAAGAGGAAGGAAGGAAGGAAGGAAGGAAGGAAGGAAGGAAGGAAGGAAGGAAGGAAGGGAAATGGAGGAATTGGATTCTTGCTGGGGTCTATGATGCTGTACCCCGATGGACTTCAGGGTATTAGAGGGCCCAGCAGACCTGGCCTCAGAGCCTCTTGGCATTTCCTGGTAGCCTCCTAGTCTCTGAGCTTGTTCAGCCCATTATGATGCTGGCCTGGCCTCCAGGCTTCCTGGGGATACTTCCTCCTGTTCTTCCTCCTACAGCTGTGAAGTCACCTCTCCCCATCCCTCCAAAGACCCTGGACTCTGGGAAATGGCAGTATTTCTGAGAACCAGGAAGTGGCCTGTGGTTTGGAGTTGGCTTGGGAGTGAGGGAAGGCCTGGGGCCCCACTGGACACAACAGCATCTCTCTTTAGGGATGGTTCAGTAACCTACCTTTCCTTACCCTGGTCTCTAGAAGACACCTGCTTGACTTCTCAGAGTGTGTGCATGGAAAAAGGGTAGGTACAGGTATGAGGGTGGCTAAGGTTGGGTGGGACTGGGCTGGTGTGGATCTTTGAGCAAACACACTTCTCTTCAGAGAAAAGTGTTCTCAAGCTCTCTAGAATTAGAATCTGGATCTGGACCTCTGCTCTGCGCTGACTTATGACCACAGTCCCATCTTTATCCCCCTCTAGAACAAATCTCACAGCCTGCCCAAGGTCAAACAGCAACTGAAACAACTCAGAGGCTGAGTTGGAAGCCTCAGGATCTGACTGTAAGGTTTAGGTTGCTACCTTATGACACCTCTGCCAAGGATGAAATGAGTCTGCTCACAGATTCCTGCCACCAACCTTTCCCTCCCTCCTCCACACCTCCCAGGAAATTCTGCCTATCAGCCCAGATAGTCTTTCAAAACCACCAGCCCACCCATCTCTCCCTCATTAAGGCTCTTTTTCCAGGACTTCCCAGTGCCTTCTGGTAACACCAAAGCTCCCTGTCCTGGCCCTTCTTGATGTCCCCTGCTACCTCTTCAACCCAACCCCCCTCCTCCCAAAGTCCATTGCATGGTATCAACCCACCAAATTGGGAAGGATCTGGGTTCCAGAGACACCTCAATCACAGACTGTGACAGTGTCAGGATATTCGCTCTCCTTTCTTAACTCTGTTGCCTCTGAATATCATCACTTTATTTCTAACAAACTCTTTCGAGAAGAAGACAGCATGCCAAGCACTGTTCAGCCTTCTAATGGTAGAAATCACTCAGTAACCAAGAGGTTTCCTCTTTGACTCCAATAGAAACGCAGTGGGGGAGGTGTCAAGTGAGCTTTTCTTGGGGAGATGTGAACAAATGTTTATCACCCCCAGATAGGGCACTAAAAACAGAAAAGAAATAATCTATCCAATTTAGCTTGGCAAACCAGTGAGATTAATTGTGGTTACTTACAGGAGCATGGGTGACTTAGGAGAAAGCTATGTCATAAGAGAAGTGTCCCCCACTCAGCAACTGTTAATGGCTTGTGCTGGATAGCTTTAGTTGTCAACTTGACATATCTGGGTAGAGGGGGACTCAATTGGGGAATTGCCACCATTAGACTGGCCTTATGGCCATGTCTTGTGGCATTTTCTTGATTGTTGAGTGATGTGAGAGGGC